CTATATTTAACAATGGAGAAAATCTAAGAACTTGATTTTTTACGATACCAAGTGACGGGACGATCAAGTCGTGGACCTGGAGTAAGCGATACGCCTGACAGTTGCAATACTACTCAAAGCTTCAAAACGTAAAGGTCGGAGGGGCACTCCAACTGCACCCGTCACCCTGAGACATAAAGTTGACAAGTTGATTTCACCAGCACTCTGACACTTCAAAACCGGAATGCAGTATTTCTCACATGTCGGCAGAAATAGGCAAAGTGACAGCGCTTCCCTGGATGAGCTCTTTCACAATGAGTACTGCTGTCGATATGATTTAACTTCAGGGACTTATGGCGCACAACGAATCACCAAAGTTTTACGGCAATCGGATAACTAAGAATGGCAATGCGTACTGGACAAACACACATTTATTTTTATATGTACAGATTATTGTTATTATAATAGCTTGAGACCCTTTTGGATAATTCAATATAATATTACAAACCCCAAAACAACAATTTACAAAATACATTTCCCATAGAAATCATAATCCAATCTCATTTAAACTGACGTTAAAAAAATATTCAGTAGTAGGCATGAAAAGGTATAATAATTTGAGGGTGGCAACACACGGATATTGGTAAACATTACGTGTCGTTTGTGTGTATTTGAAACCGCAATCACCGGCCGATGCGACTCACGTCCGATCGATCTGCGGTTCCGATGACCATTGTAATGGCTTGCTCTTTACCAGAAGATTTAAGTTGGATTTTTTTCTACAACAGATTTGAATATTATTTTGCTAGAACTATGTATTCAAATTCTTATTATTGTGTTACTTCTTCAACTATTCTGAAAAAGACTTCTTTCAAAGGACAATATAAAATATTATTTTTACAATAAGCATTTGTCTTAAGTGCCCATCAACTTCGGGGCAACAAAGACCCAGACCCGAGACAATATAGAAAAGTTTTCTACATGGACCTGGCCGGGGATTGAACCCGGGATCTCAGAAATGGCAACATGATAAAAACCGGTGTACCGGAGGTCGTCAATTGTTAGGCAAAATGCGCTCTAAATTTTCATCTCCCTTCCAGTTACTTACTTCACTGCGCTCTACTCCTGCTAAAGATCAAGATACTGTATCGCTAGTCTAAAGAAGGGTTTCTGTGTTAAAATCCTTAAATCTGAAAGCAATAACAATTCACACAAGCCCCAAGAGCCTTTAGCAATTTTATATCCAGGTCAACATAATGAATAATGTTGCTAAACACGAAAGGACTGAATCACCTGACCTATACATGGTTTATAACCTCGTACGCTCGTTATATTCGAGTTATGGAATGTTAAACCCCGCTATAAAGATTGGAAGATTGCGATGTTTTGATATAGGTGTCGATGAATAAGGACTTTATTTTCTTTAATAGTGTTTCTTGCACCGCTGAAATTTTTCTGTTTTTTTTTATTTTTAATATTAAATTTGACCATTACCTGGGTCCGAAGCAAAGATTTGATCTACAATGGAACGAGTTCGCACAAAAAGTGCCTATTCAATCGCACCTCAAAGACATTAGGGTTGTGTGTGCTCGGAACACACAAGAACACGCAAGGAATTCGATTCTTTGGCTGAGCTTATAATAAAAGATGACGAAAATGCGCTTAGTACGCCTGAAAGGAAATATCAACCAAGTAAGGACGGTGATTAAGTCTGATGATATTAAACCAACCAAAACCAAGTGCCAAAGTCCATCGTAAGATTTCGGGCCGCCTATGACGAATGCATTCTGCTTTGGGTTAATGCAGAAGCGCGCTGTTAAGAACAATTTACGAAGTGACCTCAGTCGAGAAAATATGACAAAGAGATTTAAGTAAATTGACATTATTACATTAATGTCGCAGTACATTTATGAAAATGTTATGTATGTTAACTTTTTCAAGAAAAGTACTGAGAGACATAACATTAATACGAGGAATAAAAATGAACTGGCTGTTATTGACAATCGTCACCACAAAGTCACACATGAATTTAAAGGGCAATGAATACTTTTACAACCGCTCACGCGATGCGCTCCTCCTACCGCAAAATGGTGGCTATTAGGTTTCGCAAATTAGAAAAGCATTCAGTTTAAATACAAGTTTTTATAAATAAAAATTATTATTCTGCATTGCTAAATAAATACCCTCCGTACTACCAACAAAAACATCTCAAATAAAATGCAGTAATACACCGCAAATCCTGCACTTGAAAAGCATTGATGAAATTTTTGGTGTACTTGGATAAATATGATAATATTCCGTTTGAGTGGTAATGTTTACCAACTACTAATGTTTACCATGAATTTATTAATGTTTATTTACTAATGTTTACCATGAAATTACTCCTTAAAGTATAGTTTATAAACATTTATTTTCAGGGTAAACTTAAAAAACGCTACTTACGGTATGTTTTCAATAAATAAACACCGAAATCACCAGCCCAAACAATAACACACACAATAGTCGTGACGTATTTTTGAAGTTGTTTATTTTTTTTAAATGACAGACTCAGGTATTAAAAACTTTATGGTCTGCTAGAGTAGTTACCGAAATAGCAATTAATATTAGTTCTTTTACCTGTTATAACTTCGATATCCCATAAATCGGTATAAAATCATCACCGGCACCTCTAGGTGTGGTATGCGTCTACGGCTGCATGTATCGCGTGAGCGGTTAGGACTGTCGCCCTAAGACATAAAGCTGACAAGTTCCGTGTGCCCGTAATTTCAATTGTACCCTTACCCTTCATAACCAGAACACAGTAATGCCGTGAGTAATTGTAAAGTAAAATTATTTATTTCTGCCGCCAAGCAGTAATGTCAGCAACACTACTGCTTGGTGGCAGAAATAAGTAACTACATTATAGAATCCAAAAATTTTATTTTACTTGTCTTGTTTTTAAAACCAAGCAAAATAGGCGCCTTGATTGTGAAAAATCAACCCGTTACATCAAGTACTAGGTTTATCTCTATTCTTCAAAGTATTGATGTTTCCTTATACGTCTGATAATATTGTAACCATTATCCTTTGCTTTATTGAATAGACCCTTTAGGCTAAGTCAATGCTTTAGGCAAAATTTTACTATCTGAGAGCCACAGTCTTAATTCCAATTTAAAATCTCTTTAAGCAAATTACGTTCGAAATCGAAAATGATTACGACAAAGTCCCTTGAGGAGATTGACTAAAATCTTACGTTCTGTAGATTGCTCTCGAAGGCATTACTTCTTTCGTCATTAAGGATAATTTGACAAATATTTCGACATACTAAACCTAACCGTACGTAGTTCTACTTTCAACTTAAATTTGAACATTTTAAACAAAACCATTTTTTGAATTTAAATCGCGTATATTTTTTGTTTTCTGAAGTAATTATAATTATTAATACAAAGATCGAACACTCACTAAAAAATCTTTCGATCCGGCGGGATTCGAACCGACGTCTCCTAGCATACCGTGCCAGACGCTATACCAACTAAGCCACCGCACGAACCAGCGGACCTCACGAATTTTTCTATGTGTTTGTTGTCGTGTCTCTTTGTATTTGATTTTTCCACGACTTTCTAGCCGTAGCGCCATCTATGAAAAATCTTAAATATTTCGTCACCCAGTTAGATACCTTTACAGCTACGGCAATTACAGCAATGCCGCTTTTCATTGTATTTAAATTTTTATTGAATTGATATTCAATTATTTTTATGTGAAATTACTCAACATCATCTGGATCGAAGGAATTTTTTCTGAGTGTTCATAACAAAGTGTGATTATAACAAACTTTCGTTCGAACAAATCTTAACAATCTTGATACATGAAGCGCGAGATAACGCTAGTCTCGCTAAGAGATCTCGTGCTTTATGTCGCTCTCGCGCAAGTCGCGCCTCATCGTGCTAGCCCTACTGTTACCTAATAGATACACCTACTTAAATTCTAAAGAAAACTCTACGCTCTGACCGAAGTGCAGGTATTTACGGGCCGAATAACAGGCGGGAGTTGCTCTACTTGCCGTTATTATACTATGTTACAGGTCTCGTGGTCAGGTGACCATTGTGTGAATTGTTTTGGTCTTAAAAATAAATATACGCTATTTAGATCCAAGTGGATGAGAATACGAAGCTCAACTTTTAATTCCTACAGAAAGTCTAGCATTTAAATCTAAAATTCAAACTCAGCTTCGCATCTGTCTAGTCCTGTTTAAGTCCTATTTATATTTAGCAGTCTGATAGCTAGACAGGCTAGCCATTGTTAGCTTGTGAAGACAACACAAGTGTTGGTTTGGATTTTATATCCCATTTCTCTTTAGATTTCACGTGATTTTCCAAGTATATTTGTTGCCTTGTTGATTGTATTTCGGGACTGGTATTAGATAAATTTTCATCAGTCTATAATTTGATTGTATTATAAAACGCCATCAAAATTCCAATAATATATGGTATGATACGTTTGACAACAAAAAAGGGTAGCAAAACAAACAAATACAAGGTAAAAAATTAACAGTAGCGATGCCCATGTAAGACAATTTAATTTAAAAAAATATATCATTGCCAGTCACGTAAAATGCTGAAATGGCGTTTAGTCATTGCCTGTCTTGTGTTTATATTTGAAAAGAACAAATCAAATTCAAGTGATAATAATAATGTATCATTGAGAAGTCTCTAGATATGAATACAAGACACCAGTTAAAATAAATGCATAAATACTGATTGTAACTATAAATTTGTATGTGTAGGTAGTACGTTACACATTTTTTACTTCAGTTTCTAGCATTGTTAGAATAGCACATGCGATACAGTGAATATCTATACAATAGTTGTACAAATGGGCAGCGAATACATTTTCGTGGTATAACGACATTGTAAATTCTTCTGAAACGTTCCTTAATATTCGGCAATTAATATTTATTGACTGATGACAGTTTTCCTATTAGTTCAAAGTTTTTGATAACTTCGGTTGATGTCGAGAAAGTAATCGAGATCTTTCTTCCACAGTGCCAATATCGGACGTGCAAGGAGTGCTGGGGAAGAAAGCGTCGTTACCCTGTGATATTCAGCCACTGCACTCTGATGACGCAGTGGTCATGGTGCTGTGGTTCAAAACTGAGGGGGACGGAGAACCTCTTTACAGGTAAAATTTATAGACCTTATTATCTTACGTTTCCGTACTTAGTACTAGTCTGGTAATGACTACTAAAGTAAGGCTAATAATATATTTGTCTCGCAGATTGTTTACGTGTGTTCCACGTCTTTCTTAATCACAAATAGGTATTTACATAACCAGGTTAAAACTTTCTCTAGAGAGCCTTTACTCAAAATAAAAAGTAAGTACCATTGTTGGGAGGTTCTATTATAATGTTAATGAATTAGGGGTTAGCTTTTTAAAATTCCGTAAAGGATAATAACCGGTTTGTCTGTCATCTTACAAAATCGTGGCATAGCGTGTCATCCCCATCTAGCGCTCCATAAGCGTACTAACAAGCGTCTGTTCCGATATTGCCGAATGATTTATTGGATGTAGATGGCGCTTTTCGCCATCAAGCAAATAAATGATCATAATAAAAAGCACGTCTGCTGACCCTCATTCCCACGCACACGATTCTTTATTCGAGCGTCTACCGCTTACGCAGGGATTTATGTTGGTAAAGTATTCATGTGCGCGCTTTTTTAAGTTTCTGTGTGGAATATATTCTTTGATGTAGTTGGTTTTGCGAAAATCTCTATGCTCCGTTATAACAATAAATACCCATATTGCCTAGTTAAATTTCTGTTATGATTCCTAGTTATGACATCCGTGGGCGTACCTTCAATCAGCCAAAACTCTGGTCTTCACCAACGGTTTTCGGAAATCGCGCGTACTTCCGCGGCGGTGCCACTCCAGCTGTTTTAATGGTAGACAACGTGCAAGCCACTGACGCTGGGATGTACCGATGCAGAGTTGACTTTAAAAATTCGCCTACCAGGAATTTGAAGGTCAACTTTACCGTTATAAGTGAGTATTGTACTAATGCCTTGTCTTCGTTTTCTGAACGAAAATTAGACAGCGATCGTACGTCCCGGTTAATCAACAATCGCTTTATCGATTTCATGATTAATGAAGCCTATTGACCTCGTAGAGATTTTTTATACAGGTTAATTAATTACATTCTTAAAAATTATTAAAATATCGTTTTTTTTTCAAAGAACTTGTGCAACAGCATCATTAATTCGTTACTTCGATAAATGATAAACTACTACATTACAATTATTAATACAAAGTTCGAACACTCAGAAAAAATTCCTTCGATCCGGTCGGATTCGAACCGACGTCTTCTTGCATACCGTGTCAGACGCTATACCAACTAAGCCACGGAACGAACCAACGGACCTCACGAATTTTTCTATGTGCTCGCGTCGTGTCTTTGTACTTGGTCTTTCAACGACTTTTTAGTCGTAGCGACATCTATTCGAAATCTATGACAGATTTATCACCCAGTTAGTACCTTTACAGTTACCAGTCCTGGCGAGAGATGTCGCTATTCACTGTATTAATTAAATTTTTATTGAATTGATATTCAATTATTTTTTGTGAAATTACACCACTAGTTTGTTATAATTATTAATACAAAGATCAAACACTCAGAAAAAAGTCCTTCGATCCGGTCGGATTCGAATCGACGTCTTCTTGCATACCGTGCCAGACGCTATACCAACTAAGCCACGGAACGAATATTTATTAGAATTTTTTCTGAGTGTTAATTAGTACATTACATTTTAATTATCTATTGTTCATAGAATCTAGTCAATAAAAACCCTTACGAATATGTTGAGTTTGCTTAGAAATTACTACATAGATAGCTCGATAATCGATATTCGATAGTCGATAAAATAAGTCCACTACCTTATAAGTTTTGGTCAGGCATCGAAGAGGCTATAAATTGTGACCATTATCCTACGGTATATTGGATAGACCTTTTAGGTAAAACTTTCCTATCTGGAAGACATAATCCCAATTCATATTCAAAATTTCTTTAAGTAAATTACACTTGAAATCGAAAATGATTAAGGCAGATTCCCTTGAGAAGATTTAGCAAGAATCTCTAGGGGTTGCTCGACAAAGTATAGAAAAGTGATTACGAAATAAGAAATTGAGATATGGTGTTTTTTTAATTAAATCTTTTTAAGCCGTGGTGTTCTATGTAGTGGTTTGACCTACCGACTCTCGAGCAGAAGCTGTGAGTTCTAATTCGGGCTAGCCCCTCAGAATTTCCCGGAATATATGTGCAAAATTTAATTTGATCTTTTCGGTGAAGGAAATCTACACGTCGAAGAAGGTTTACAACCCTCGAAAAACCAGCCAGTGCCAGCGTGGCGGACTATGGCCTAAACCCTCAAATCCCTAAATTGGTTGATGATGATGATGATGATGAAAAATATTTCTAATTGCTGCTTGCTTCTAGTAACCAGTGTTTTTACAATATTAATGGGCTCATTTATTACACTTTGTACCCTATTCACAGTCTTTCACTTGCGTTTTTCGCTTGCTTGCGTGACTCGCTTCGCGCATACGCAAGGATCTGTCGCGTACGCGCAGGTAGGACTGTTCACTGTTGCTTTCCGTTGGATTTATTTGCGTTGCGTGAGTTTGATGTTCTAGCAAGCTTGATATTTCCACGCAAGCAACAAGGAACGTTTGCGGAGGACAACACTGACCAATCACAGAGCAGCAGCTGGTTCGAGAGTGTCGACAACCCAAACAAAGGCAAGGCGCCGCCCATGCGCGCTAGTCTCTCCGCAACGCAAAGAGGAAGACTTGTGAACGGCTTTGCGCGGAAGGCAGATTTTTATGCCGATGCAATCAAGTGAAAGATTTGTGAACCCAGCTTCAGGAACTTGCAAACCGACGCGACGGACCGATCAATCGTTCCTGGTCAATTTTATGCAAAAAATTACCACCGAAAGCGATAGTAATTCTACGTTTACGTGTTGGTATTGTAATTGATAACGACATGTTATTAACTGTCCTTTCTTGAGTAACATTTTTTTTAAACTTGTTACATAAATAATATTCACATCTCCGTACAAATAAAAAAGGATATGCCTTATATAACATAATGTCGCTCCTTCAATATCGCGTTTTTTTTTTCAAACAAATCAATGTTTTTGGTCCCCTGGTCGCGGTTGACTGAGATGGTAAAGTCATCACCAAGTTACCGAGAAGCGTAAGCAAAGAGACCTCAACGTTGCGTTGTGTTGTTTGAGAAAATAAATATACGCGATGTAGAATCGTAAAATAGTTACATTGCTAAAATAGTGATAAAATTCGAGAAGTGTTTTTTGTGACACTGACAAAATAGATCATAATAATAACGTACACTTAAGATTACATCAAACTGGACATTTTGAAATTTGGACCATTCTTAACGCAGACGACGTAGAGGTGAATTTAAATCTTAAGTGTCAAACTTGACGTGCTCTTGACCCTGTAATTTGTTTTGACAGTTTATCAAAAATATTAAATTCTGAATTTCGTCAGTTTGCTATTATATAAATTTAACAACTTTAAAAGAGAATCAGCCTCAGTCATGATTGACTTGAAGTAAATTTTCAAATTAAGAATAAGTTTTTTAGTATATTTTAAAAAAGACTTTTGGGATTAAAGAGATGAAATAAAATCAGACACTTCATTAATACTTTTTTTTGCAGTCCCGCCGAGTCGGCCAACAATTTACGACGCGAAGAGACGAGACCGGACGAAATTAGTCGAGCCGTATAACGAAGGATCCAACGTTTTGCTCATTTGTGAGGTAGAAGGGGGTAAGTTGCTTGAGTATTATTGCTCATTACTGTGTTGTATTTCATAGTACTCTTTATGGTAGTCACTACTAATTCTTCGGTGTGGGGCTAAAAATATATCTTTTTTTTCAATTCAAAGATATTATATAGACATTCATCCATAAGGGCTAGTAGCAGAATATTTAAAAATAGACTTAGTATTACAAATAATTATTCTTCTAACTGTCACTGACATGCATTCGAATCCAGTGCCCTTAAAACGAGCCCAGGGCCCTGAATACAATAACACTCAAGAGGCCGTTACCACTGCCACGAATTCTGCGCATCAAGAATCATTATCACCCTTGCCATTCAAAAGCGAAATGCTGTAATGCTCACCGGACTGCTTGACGACATAGATAAGAAAGGTGGTAGTAGGCACTTCCCTGGACGACCTCTTTCAGAAGGAGCTTTACTGCTAGTGGGTAGGTGTTAATAAACAATTACATGGGACTTGTCAACGTATTTCTCAGGGTGATGGGCGCAGTGACAGTGTCCTTCAGTGCTTTACAATTTTAAGCTCCGAGTGGCACTGCTACTGCCATGGTTAGGCATGTGGCTTACCACTAGACGTGAGACTTGTTCATCTCATCGTTTGGTATCATAATTCTGGGTATGGTGGGGTGCAACGAAGTGGGGGTACGGAGGGAATTAGCATTGGTTTTGCATGTATTTCAATTGTTAAGAGGCAAGACATGCAATGCAGAGATTTTGAGTTGTGTGGGTCTTTGCGTTCCTGATGGGTAAGCGGGGCGCTGGTCTCAGTTGTTGACCATTCCTCGTGGGAGAACCAATCTGCTGGACAGGGCACCACTGATGATGTTATTGATGGGAAAATTTACCTATGTGCAGGCACATTCTCTGTGTGAGTTCAATAACTTTATTTGTAATACGTTATGGAGTATAACATCAGTTTGTAGTTTAATATGGTATGATATAATTTTAGTAGATACAATAGAATTTTTTAATATAATATTAATGTTTGTAAATAACGTTGAACAAGTGATAATTTTGGCTACACTAGTCCTGTAATGATTGTTGCTAGCTTATGTGTGTAAAATAAGAAATAAAATAAATAATAATTATAACTTTTTTATAAAGAAATAACGACCTCAAAAGTACGTCGAATTACATCTATTTGCTAAGTTTTATTGAAATCGGTTACCGGAAAATGCGCGATACCGAATTCATCCCCTAATTTGCCACGCTTAGAGGTGGAATATTTACTTCCAATTTAAAAGGGACTAACACTGAGGTAACCCCTTTAAAAAAACAATCATGAAAATCAGTTCACAAACGCCGAAGTAATATCGTAACATATATACAAAAAAGTACAGTCGAATTGAGAACCCCATCCTTTTTTGAAGTCGGTTAAAAACAGATGTCAATTTCGGTATTACATTTATATAGGGTGACATTTAACTCAGCTTTTGAGATGCTTGTCAAGGTCTGGTTTATTAACTACATGTAATCATTGACACCATTAAGGGAATTGAGCAATAAATATTTGAATATGGGAACTTAGTCCGGAGTTAAGAGGCAGCATATATACATTCCTCAATTTTATACAGTATATAAATATCAATAATTAAATGATACAATGATTATATATATCCAGCATCTTCACGAGTTTCATTCTACTCCTTCATCATGCATAACAAGTAACAACCAGATGCACAATACGAACTCATGTTACCAAGACCATGCATTTGATTGATTAGGACACACTGACCTTCATTCATAAGCGGAATTTTTTACAAGTCTCAAGTGAAGCCTAATGATCGAGTGATAGTTGATGGGTAATCAAGCTATATTTAAATTTTAAGCACCGTATGCACAGCGACTTTGTCGATGAGTACAATCGTGTGCGGTTTCATAATATCGGTTTCCTCTTTCTCCATTATCTTTTAGCATCGACGATCGGCTACTTAGTTCATAAGTCACCTTATAGACTAACATACATAATAATTTATTAAAAATTGTAATAGGTTTACGAAGCGAGGGAAGATGAAGAAAGACGCTTGAATTTCCATATGTTCAACGGCATTTATTGACGTTGTTCGTAGTATGATCGACGTTAGAGACGTAATCGCGCTCGTTCTTCGATATCAACTCAACGTCTCACCCGGTGGAAGCGGCAGCCGGCGATCGATGATACAGAAGGCGAGGTTACAAATATTTCTCGTAGGTGGTGTTACAAACTCTATTTATCCGCTCACGCGATGCGCTCCTTCTACCGCAAAATGGCGGCTATTTGGTTTCGCAAATTAGAAAAGGATTCAGTTTAAATACAAGTTTTTATAAATAAAAATTATTATTCTGCATTGCTAAATAAATACCCTTCGTACTACCAACAAAAACATCACAAATAAAATGCAGCAATACACCGCAAATCCTGCACTTAAATAGCACTAATGAAATTTTTGGTCTACTTGGATAAATATGATAATATTCCGTTTGAGTGGTTCTAACGTTTACCATGAAATTACTCCTTAAAGTATAGTTTATAAACATTTATATTCAGGGTAAACTTAAAAAACGCTACTTACGGTATGTTTTCAATAAATAAACACCGAAATCACCAGCCCAAACAATAACACACACGATTGTCGTGACGTATTTTTGAAATTGTTTATTTTTTTTAAATGACAGACCCAGGCATTAAAAACTTTATGGTTTGCTAGAGTAGTTACCGAAATAGCAATTAATATTAGTTCTTTTACCTGTCATAACTTCGATATCCGATAAATCGGTATAAAATCATCACCGGCACCTCTAGGTGTGGTATGCGTCTACGGCTGCATGTATCGCCTGAGCGTTTATTCATTTATTTACACATATGGACAGCGACGTGTGACGCAACGTGGGTGTCTGGCAACATGACACCCTTCGGCCAGAAGTCCTCCTTTATGAAGGTCGATGGGTATTAAGTTGGTACTCACAAATTAATTCACACTGTGACGGGACTCCAACAGCTCGACGCTCAGAGTAGCATTGGCCTTCACCCGCATGTACTTCACAATATCCGCAGACTTTGTGGAGTAATAAAGTCATGACGCTTATAGCAATATTACCATTGTTAGTGCAGTAAATATTCAACAAATCAACAATGCTCTGATCCCAGAGTAAGAATGAAAATTGGAAACAACGACAATACCACAAACACCCAGACCCGAAGCAATACAGAAAAGTTAGTTTTTCTATATTAACCCGTCGGGGATCGAATCCGGGACCTCAGAGATGATTAAAACCAGTGTGCAAGTCTATAAGCAAACATACCTACTATTTAGAACACAAAATTATAAAAAGTATTCCATTTTTCGTTTAAGTAGCAAAATTGATAATAATTTCGTCGAAACTCACTTTGTCACTAAATTCATAACATAAAAAACAGCACGTGGAAAACCACTTACGTTGATGTTAAAAAACATCAACGTAAGATGAGTATAAGTTAAACTTCAAAAGGTAATAAATATTCTTTTCCATATTTCACACTTTGGCTTTGGTATTTAACTATCTGAGTACAGTTAACGATATCAAAAGCTGTATTTTCAAATAAATATTAATACACAAATTTAAAACACGTTGATAAAAACTAGTCACCATTATTCTATTTCAATTAGATATAAAAGTGTCCAAACTTTTGTTTTTACTTTCAATTTAAGTTACTTTGTATCATTAAGTACAATAACAACAGCAGTGTCAAAATTGTTGAGAAAGCGTAGTAAAGTGAAAGTGTATAGTAGATTTGCATATTATACTTATTTTACCTCATCATTAAGTCTATACAAATTACTTGAGACAAGCAAAAATGACATAATTTATAAAATTGTTGCTAGAGTAGAACCTTAGTATAATAACACAAGTATGGTAACTTCAACAAACATTTGTACTTTGTACAAACGCAACAGCGCGGTTTGTATGTGTACACGTGTAAGGACGCACACTTTCACATAATATTGAAAAACGCGTGAGACAACCAGCGCTATGCAACGCGAATGCATTGTGAGATTATGCGAATGTGTACGTCCGTACACGGCGCGCGGCGGGCGCGCACACATACAAGCATCGACATCAAAGCCACAGCCAAGCCACGTTGCTACGTTTATGTGGAAATAGCATATTTATCTTATAACACTATGGTAAAACGAAATGTTGGAGTTGCAAGAAACCGTTCGCATGGCATTTGGTGACTTTTGGGCCATTAGTAGATGATAATGAAGACGATTTTGAAGTAGAATATTTTAAGTTATCAAGGTGTCAGGTCGTATAAGTAGAGCGTCTCATATAAGCAACACGTGTAGACATATTAGTCGCAATTGCTACTCAGAGCTCTAAATCGTAAAGACCTAAGAGTGTAGGTTCACTAGCACCTTCTTACCTTTTAAAACCGAAACTCAGTAATGCTCAAATTACAGCTTGATGGCAGAAATAGGTAAGGTGGCAGTATTTCCGTGGACGAACTCTTTCACAAGGTGCTCTACTAGTACATGTACATATACTAATTGGTCAATTAACATTAGAAACATATCAAAAATCCACAATTTCATAGCATTAATACACTTACTATTAAGGTCATAATTGTAGTGATAAATTAACTCGTAATTTTTATGATCTTTACAAAAGTTATCACGGGTTATTATTAGAGTTTAACCTTCAACTTGCGTTTGAATAGAATTAGGTTATTCCTTTCATTATTTTGACCTGGAAACCTATTGACGTTCTGAGGACTTTTCCAGCTTTGTGAAACGTGTTGAATAAAGTTAACGCCAAAGTAACAATAATTAAGATTTATTAGTAAAATACCATTATCTGTTCAAACAAAACAAGGTTTCAGACTCATTATAGAACCCATTTCCACAACTAACTATTATGGTCTTAGTAATTAATTTAATGTTGACTTTACTATCCTTTATGAACTAAATATAAAAAAAATATAATTCTGATTCATAATCCATAATTGAAATAATCATATTATATTTAAAATTTAAAAAATGTATTGATTCAAATCTATAGATGGTACCTAATACGTACGTACTTATGATCTAAGTGTTAGTAATGACATGCATGTGATAAGAGCGGTTTATGTACGGACAGTCGAACCTGTCCGCTATCATGGATAGGATGGTGTAGGAGCTAGCCCGGTCCCTGGTCATCAGTGTCGCTGTCCGCTTGCATGTGATTGTGTAGATTATTAAACTACCTTATTAGATGACTAAAAGCATTTATTCAGCCATGACCATGGGACCTGTGAAGAGCCCGACACGTTGACTTGTTTGAAAAAACTAATGTACGCGATTTTGATCTGAAAAAATAATTAATTTCAATGGTAAGAGGTAATTAAAGAGCGGTGGTGATACCCTAGCGGGTTGCTTTTCAGTGGAGAGGTCAACTATTCGAATTTCTGTGGCAGCATGTAACCATGCCTTCAATTTCTGACTCGGTACATTTTTCAGAGTGTTGTGTATAGCATGTTAACATCTTTACGAAATCAGCATGTCGAAGAAGGTTCTCAACCATTGGAAAACGGACGAGGTTAGATTAGGATATGTGTAGCGGACTTTGGTCTAAACTTTTTTTTATGATACCACGTGACAGGACGAACAAGTCGTGGCAGTTGCAGTGCTTCTCAGAGCTTTAAATTGCAAAGATCTGATTAAAGTAAAAAACATTAGTACACTTATTACTACAATGATCTAGCCAGTTTCTCTTTATAGTTTATCCAAGCTGTCTTCCACATAATTGTAACAAACACTCTATTTTGCATTAATAACTTTGTTTCTTTCTCAGGTCGGCCTAGACCTCGAGTGACGTGGTACCTCGAGAACGTGGTAATAGACGATTCCTACGAACAGCGTCCAGATGGTATCACAGTCAACACTTTAACCTTCCCAAATGTTGGAAGACAACATTTGAATGCAAGACTCGTCTGTCAGGCTGCGAATACCAATCTGGCACCACCAGAGACTAAAGTGTTGATTCTGGACATTAATTGTAAGTATCTATTTAAATAAATAAATGCAAGCAACCACACTGAATACCTGATCTCAAAGTGGGGAATTAACACATCTAAACTGTCTAAACAACAAACTAAAAAAAATTGTTTCTATAAAAGATCCCGGTACGTCGCGTTCTTATTCCGCCATTACAGTGGTTTGCACTGTAATCGTCGGACCACCACGGTCTTCAAAATAAGCAATTAAAGATTTAAGAAATCCTTATTTGTACATGGTTTACCTAACACTTTACATTTACTAGAGCATAATATTGTAAAGCAACAACTCTGAAGCAGTTGAGGGCCAAGAATATTTAACAAGATATCACTGTCATTGCGTTATAGACTCTCCGAAATGCAGCAATGTTTTAAGTTCGTCATCCTTTCTCTACACTGCGGTAAATATTCTGATAAAGTCTTTGTACTTAAGCAAGCACTACTCACAAGACATTTATGAAATTTATGCCAAAATGTATGTTATAAAATCTAAGTGCATAAAAACTTGAGCATGAAATTTCCTCGTACTTCCAGTTCGATGTCTAATATTTGCAAATCATAAAAGGAATTGTCGTCCAAACTCAAATAAAAATTGTAAAGTAGAATGCTTGTCAAGTCCCTAAAACGACTGGGACCCGTGTTATTCGCAGGCCACTTGACCTGGATGTTTCTTTCGTCCGTTGTAAAGAAAACAATGACTCTCAAATTTGACTAGGATCCGATTGAGAAAGATGTGGGCTTTTACAGAGAAATCGTTATACATACGAAAATCACTTCCAATACTTGGAATGTAAGAGAATATATTTCTTGTACATTTTCGCTGGCTAAAGTCATAGCTTTGAAAACATTTGTAATAAGTTATCTTTGAAGATAATAATTTTAGCCTTTTGCAAAAGAAATTTCCTCAATTTATTCAGGTCTGAAAGTTTAGGATAATGCTTGTATTTAGTGTTAAGTATTAACGTTAATTTAACTTCCACAGTAAAACCCCTAACTGTGACGATACTAAACAAAGAGAAGCAAGTGTCAGCTGATAAGCGGTACGAGATCGAATGCAAGACGACCGGGTCACGACCCGAGGCTTACGTCACGTGGTGGAAAAACAACCGACAACTGAAGCGCATGGCCAAAAACGTGAGTATTACTATACATTCTGTTAAGTTCACATAGTTGTAGAGCTATGGTTTTACGTCCTTTGTAAATTCACAACAATCAAATTTCGTACATGTTGGGTTGGAGTTTGATGACACGAAGTTGCTAATATTGTTTTGTAGTAGTCGTTTTGAGAGTATTGCAGGGGACGAGGAAATAAAATCTTTTTCGTATTTCTGTATTACAATCACGAACTTTTACATTGTATTGCTTGTTTTAAAAGTTTTCCCTCGTATCAAAGTATAATTAAAATTTGTTAATCTCATTGAAATTACACACGTGGCAAACAATTTCAATTTTATGAAAGTTTCATAAAATCAAATTATAATTCAGTCAGTTTCATTGTCCATTGTACGTAAAGTGTAGTGGGTAAAATAAATAAAACAATAAACCCCGATATAAAGCTATCTCGGTGGGAGACAGGAAGAGGACTCGATGGACACTCGGCCACAAGGGGCATGCGTCGTCCATTTCAGTAAATGGGCCAGCGCATGACGGAGAAACGACGTATCTTAAAAGTATTATTTTTGAGAAATTGATACACAAAGATTTTTTTATAAGAACATAATTGAGCATTTGACCTCCATCTCACCTGATGGAAAGCAACGATGATGTCGACGATTTAGCATGCACATCGAAATAATATCTATTCAGTCTCGCCTTGAAAAGGCCCAAGTTATAGCGTTCGGGGAACAAATCTGCAGGCAGGTAATCCACTCTTTAGCCGTTCACTATATAAATATGGAAGCGAAATGCTTTGTGCGAATCTTTGGAATATCCACAACAGGCGTGGAACCCCAGCCTACATCTAGTTCCACGAAGTTGGGTAGAGGAAAGCGGGATTAAATCATGCAATTCCATCGCACACCCTCAGTTACATATTTAACACCATTAGTAAATTGGAAAAAAACTTTAGTAGTTACTCTTTCAACAATAATATTTATTTAAATTTCAGACAATGAAAATTCTTCATTAGATTCAATGTTATTTTTAAAGTTATGTTTGTACTAAAACTAAAATTAAGAATTTACTTTTAAAATTAACTCACACCTATGTTTATATCCTGTCTCAGATACGAGGTGAAAAAAGAAAAAACTTTAAATATCAAATTACGATCAAATGTAGTTGACCAATACGTTTGTCCACACGTTTTTTATCTGATTGCTTAATTTTATAACACTTTAAACGCAATGGTTTTAAATAACGTCTTACTAGTTTACAGTTTCCGTAAATGAAGTTTTGCAAAAAGCACCCATGTGTTTTAAAATTCTTCTTCAAAGAGATGCTTTTAACTTTAACCTGCTTCAGAAGTAGTTGGCGTTAATATACCACAAGATCAATTACATTTACGTTTATTTTATCAACAATATTTTTTTTCATGATATGCTCCATGCGGACGGTATGAATGTGGATTAGGTGGATGGGAGAACAATTAGAGAATAACGCATGTCTTAAGTCAGGCAACAAAAACAACATCACTTCACGATTATCTCTAATATCAGGTTATTTCTTACCATTATTATGTTATATTATGACTTCTTTTTATTTTCCCGATATTTACCATGGTAAGAAACCTGATATTAGTGATAATCATTTAGTGCATAACCACGAAAGTCTTAACATCTATTTAACCGCTCACGCGATGCGCTCTTCCTACCGCAAAATGGCGGCTATTTGGTTTCGCAAATTAGATAAGCATTCAGTTTAAATACAGTTTTTATAAATAAAAATTATTATTCTGCATTGCTAAATAAATACCCTACGTATTACCAACAGAAACATCTCAAATAAAATGCAGTAATACACCGCAAATCCTGCACTTAAAAAGCACTAATGAAATTTTTGGTGTACTTGGATAAATATGATAATATTCCGTTTGAGTGGTTCTAACGTTTATCATGAAATTACTCCTTAAAGTATAGTTTATAAACATTTATATTCAGGAAAAACTTAAAAAACGCTACTTACGGTATGTTTTCAATAAATAAACACCGAAATCACCAGCCCAAACAATAACACACACAATTGTCGTGACGTATTTTTGAAGTTGTTTATTTTTTTTAAATGACAGACCCAGGCATTAAAAACTTTATGGTTTGCTAGAGTAGTTACCGAAATAGCAATTAATATTAGTTCTTTTACCTGTTATAACTTCGATCTCCGATAAATCGGTAAAAAATCATCACCGGCACCTCTAGGTGTGGTATGCGTCTACGGCTGCATGTATCGCGTGAGCGGATAATATTACTCCAGTTTGGAATGAGTGATAAATGTTTAAATTTTGTTAAGTTTATAAATGAATGTATAACAAGACGACCTTCGATCCTCTACATCCTTTTTAAGAGACAGAGGTAAAATAAAGTTATGATTCTATGACACTCTGTTCTGCTGATAAACCCCAAAATAATTTCCACAAAAGTTACTCCAATTCGTCTACAGTAAAAGCATTTCCTTTTGCGTTTTCACAGACTTTTGTCCCATTCAGACTTATTCCCTTTGTGTTTTAATTAATAGATTCTTTTCTTTTTTCGTGGGTTCCGCATAATGACTGCTGACGTTTATTGTTCTCGGCATTATGGTGGTTATTATTGTGGAATTGTTTGAAAGCATTAGGAGTCGTTTCGTTCTGTTATCATTTTTCGTAAATGATGGCTTTTGAAAGATGAATGTAAATAATTGTAGTGTCTTTGTTTGTTATGAGTTGTGTACATATTATTTTGCTTTCTTAAAGGATGTGTAAGAATTATGTTAAATTTTTTTTGGATTGTGATTTTCATTTAATCTCACGGCCTGTAGAAAAAATACTATTATTTGTTCTGAAATAAAGTTTGTATGTATATAGTTTATTATCTTTAAGTTCTTCGTAAGTTGCGCTACGTATTTAATTTTTTCGTAAGTCTTGTGGCTTGTTTGAAATTAAAACATGGTAATTTCTGATATTACGAGCATCAGTTAATTCTTCGTCAATATTATCAATGATTTCGTAGCCCTGTCTAAGGGTTCGTGCAGCATTCATTGTGATGAAATATTAACAGTGAGTTTTATTGTTTCAGTTCTCGGAAAACAACGAAACACTAAGTGTCCTCACCCTTGTACCGAGTGTAGAAGACGACGGAAAGTACCTAACTTGCCGGTCCGAGAACAAGCACATCCCTGACTCGGCGATTGAAGATAAATGGAGACTTAATGTGCATTGTAAGTTGGGAATATCGAGTCTCAACTCTGTTATCATGCATCTAAGGTTGTATAGTGAAACGGTAAAATGTTCACATGACGAGCTAAACTCGAAGTAAGATTACACTTAAAATTGTCAAGATTTTCTTAATTTGCACTCCATTTATGGAGATTATGATTATGTGCTTTGCCTATATTTTCATATGTGGAAGCTTTTGATTGACATTTGAGTGATCATATTTAAATTCATCTTGTAAAAGTAACTGTAAACTCCCATAATAAAATAAAATAAATACGATGAATTATCTTAAATAAAAATGTAAGGCAGATCTTAACACTTATACGTTTCATTACAAAAATTGTAAAATTCGTTCAATTTGTACATGATATAGATCTACAAACAATTTCACCATAGTAAAATAAAAGAAGTATGGTAACTCCGTTCAAAGCAACAGCGTGGCTTGTATGTATGTGCGATCGCCACGCGCCGTGTACAGATGCACACATTTACATTAATAATGAAAGGCGCGTTGCGACAACCAGTGTTATGCAATGCAAGTGTATCGTGTATCGCGCTGCTATATTTGTATGGAGTTATACTCGTCTTATTACACTATGATTGAACATTCTACCAAAAGAAAAGTATTTGCAAACGTGTGATACCAAATAATATTTCCAAATTATGGCAAGTTATAAGATCTTAAGCCTCTTCGCTCCCTCTAACCTCCATTCAGAAGATAGGAGTGCTGTTGTGTTCTACTGATAAAAATTGGTTCGACACTAGTACCTACAAAATTGGGTTATTCATACAAAGCTTTACCGATATGAAATTATGCTATCCCAATTGATATTCTCACATAACCAATTATGAGTTTAACCCTTACACGTCCCGCAAGCTATGGAAAGGTCAATCTTTATGAAGCTCAATAGTATATCTTCTTCTAATTCCAATTATTATGCTATCATAAGCAATATTATCGTTGAAACAATAAAGCCGTATAGATTTATGCAGATTATGCTGCCATTATGTACGGACAACGGCACATCAGACTACACACTTTTGTTCGAAAATCGCCTCCAGTGCAACGGAACAAGATATGTCAATGTGTAGCTTGATGTGCTGGCGTGTGTACTTTGACTTTATTTCAAACGTTTCTATGAAACAATCTTAAAAAAAATTAAGACTTTCACTCTCTTTAGTCGCAGGTTTCTTACCACGATATGTGTTCTTTTTATTTTCCGGATATTTACACGCTTTAAGATCACGGTCACTAGCCAGTCAACTCGTGACTTCCTTCTGAATTTGTGACAATCAACATTAAAATTGGACAGGTAAAGTATAAAAATACAATAAAAGCTGGAAAACTAAAACTAGGATTTAATTAAGTATATGAATAAAATTTGGTCCCCGCAGGAAGGTACCCAAGATGCTGAAAGCGTTCCCCTTTGTATAGTTATGCTTTGGACAAGGTAACTGCCAGCCCTAGGTTTCCCAGACAGACTTATTTGTTTGATAAAATTTTGTAAAGATGACTTCATCTTTACGCACCAGGATCCCAAGGGCCAAGGATTTCGACTCCAACTTGTGTAAATAGGTAGTCGGAGGCGCGGTCCTGGTACTTATTAAGGCCCATTTAGATGGAGAGAGTTTCTCGCACGCTTCGTGACGAAAACTCGTACGCGATTATCGTAAGCAATAATCGCCATAAGATTATCGTATCGTAATGTTTACATTCAAGCAAGAACTAAAATCTCGCCTACGATTATGTCATTAGAGATTCGCAAGCAACTTAATCACCTCCTCGACTGTTTACACGGAGAAATATGTAGTAAGGAGATTCTTGCTTACGAGTTTTCGACTTGTCTAAACACGATCTCGTATGACATTTTTTCAAGTTCATACGATTATCGTACAAATCGGTTCGAACCGTTTTGAGTGCGAGAATTGCCATTCGAGTTCAGTGATTACTGCGGTATTGACTATGGATATATCAAAGTGACGCAAAAATCATTCAAATTTGAAACTGCTGATAATATTAAGTTCATTGCACTGTATAGAAATATATTTTGTATTATAATTTGTTTATATATATTTTTTTAATTTTATAACTACTGACACAAACAAAAACTGAAAATTACGATAAATTTATAGGGCGAGTGAGTGCGTGATTGAGTGAGTGAGTGAGTGAGTGCGTGCGTGCGTGCGTGCGTGCGTGCGTGAGTGAGTGAATGAGTGAGCGAGCGAGTGAGTGAGTGCGTGAGTGCGTGAGTGAGTGAGTGAGTGGGGAGTGAGTGACGAGTGTTTATTGAAAAGTGCATTTACTTGAAAAGTCGTGTCCGCCATCTTGGATTTAGAAATAAATGCTATAATCGTAATTTCTATTAATTCGTAATAGTTCATTCGTAAATTCGTAATGAACACTCCTCACTCACTCCCCACTCACTTCCCACTCACTCTCTACTAACTCCCCACTCACTTCCCACTCACCCACCCACTCACTCACTCACTCACTCACTCACTCACTCACTCACTCACTCACTCACTCCCCATTATTTGAAATTTTTTTTTTCGCTCTCGTTCCATTACTTATTGTCTTAGAAAAGCAGTGATAATTAAAACACCCTCGCGCACTGCACTCATGGTAGAAACGGCTGGCACAAAAACTCGAAATACGATTTTTGCTTTCAAGTTCTGTTTACACGGAGACGTTCAACATGCAAAGGCGAGGCGATTTTCGCTCACGTGGAAGGGCGATAATCGCGAATGTTTAGACGAGGAAAGTTTTTTTATATTCTTTCGATAATCGCATCCTCGAGACGAGAAACTCTCTCCATCTAAATGGTCCTTTACCCTTTAATCTTTCTGCCAGCTCAGCTGTGGAGCCTGCCCTCTTGCTGGTGTGATGGAGATGGGATAGGGCAAATGTGTTGATGTACGTGGCGTCCCACATCAGTGCCCGGCCCACTCAAAGACTTTGCTACAAATGACATTAAATAATTATAAAAATTACATCCTATAAAGGACTCTACTCTGAAAAACATTGACTTTAATCTAGTTAGCCCTTTTTGCTATGTCAAAGTCTAAGTCCTCAGCCTAAGTCCTCCTATAGGAAACATCCCAGCTGCCCATCAAACCCAGGTCCGGCTCGAAGGATCAAAATGTTGAGGAGTAGTGGAAAAATAGAAGCTCAAAGTAAACCAATATAAATTATAATTTAAGGAAAAGTAATTAAAACAGGAGAACAGAAAGGAACGAATTATAGACCAAAAATACATAAACAATAATCAATAAAATACAAAAAAGTATTTATGTCTGCCCCGTCCAGTGACCGTCCGTAACAATCACCGTAATCTGCATCTTATATATTTGAAAATGTTGATTTTTTAGTGTATATATCCTAACTTGTATAAATATGATGCTGACCAGTCGCAACATCAGAGAAGTCGTTTTCCAAATTGAGTCGTTGTTTACAATGTTCGCTTAATAAAATAATCTCTTATTTTATATCGAACTATTCCGTTTTTTGCGTCTCGCTATTCGAGAGAGGGAATGATATTACACGAAAATAGAAGGGGGCTGATCAGGAATGATGGATGCATGGATGTTACTACTGTCTGAACCTATTTACACCTAAAGTGTTTATCAGTAATAAAGAATTTGTCTTTATGAGAATCAACTATTCATTCGGAAGGCTGCTTTGACCGACAAAACGATTACCCTTTTTTAACGCCAGTAATTTATTTTAATAAATTGTTGTCACGTATCAATTTTCAGATAATATTTTGCTTTATAGTTGATCATTACAGTTGATGGCATGATGTAGGCATGTGTGGTAGTAGGCTGGAAAAAAAATGCGTTTAATGGTATACTTGAATTTCTAAATTGCATTTGCAAATGTTCAATAGCAATATTTCTCGCTAACGTTGAAGAAAAACATCGTAATGAAACCTGCATGTCAAAACAGTCATCAAAAAAAGAAGTCACCGCATTGAGCTAGCGCGGCGGTCTATGACCTAAACTCTAAGGGTCGCTAATTTGGAAAGTCGTCCTTTGAAGAGCACTGCGCCATTGAACATAGTGACTTGTGTTGAGATGTCTTGGTAACAGCGTTTGCAGTGTACATTTGAGGGTCCTGGCCAGTGGAAGAGCGGGATCGTGTTTAAATCAGCTAAGGCGTTTTCTATAAAGCGCTTGAACATTGGAGCGTTTTTGCATTTTGAGGAGCATAATAAAAGTGGTTTTGTTTTAAACTAAGAGATTTTATTACTTGCCATTCGAAATCCGTACTCTCATATTCTCTAAAACTACATAATACCTTTCCCAATGTTTATAGGCATACCGATTTTAATAAGCAAAAGTTTTAATTACGCAAATTTATAATCCTTTTTGATACCATTTTGAAGAAAATTTCGCTCGAATAATTTTTGTTTTGCCGCTGGAAATTAATTATAAGTAATGTTTGGGTTATTTTGGATGGATTCATGATAAATACCATTAAATTTAAATAATGACTCGTATGAATGTGTTATACCTACTTTAGTTCATGGAATAATTCAGGATTATAAAGTAATACTTGATAATATGATAGTGGTTTCTTTAATAAACTTAATCTGAGTCAACAGATCTCTTATTAAGCGACTCATAGAATAGAATTTTAAACGCCTGCAGTCTGTACATACAACTCACGTACACTTGGATTTTATATCGTTTTTATTGTTATTGATATTGACAATTAAATCTTGCAAATCCCAGCATTTTGTTAACTGCACGCATAACTTGAATCGTTTGTAAAGAAAAACTTCGCTAATTATACTGAATTCCATACTTCTCTGAATGTTTTTCCTCTTTAGTTACATGTTCATTGTACTCACATAAAACCTTCAGTAAACTTTATTTTATATGTGTTTTCATGGAACATAGGTAAACCTAATTAAGTTACTCTTGAGGTTGTATACCTTTCACATTATTTCTTTCTTATGAATATCACATCTTCACTTAATGTCATAAGTGATTCCGTTTCTCAACGTAACCAGTATTGGTATTAACCTAATAGTAACCTTGTAATAGTACCTAATTTTTTTTTAATACTACTAATAACAGTAATTAGATATAACTTATACACTCACACTAACTGTAGGGGAAACTAGGCATTATAGGTAGGTAGTCGGATAAAATTGTCACTTGTCAGTCGTTTCGTTTGTTCAAAGTGAAAGTGTTCTTCATATAGGTTATTGTATTATATTTTTTTAATAAGTAAATTGCATTTGACCTCCACCTCATCTGATGGAAAGCGACGATGAGGTCGACAATGTAGCATGCGCATTTAAATAGTGCCTACTTTTTTCACTTACGTGAATTCGAATTTGTGGAAGCGCAGTGCTTCGTGCGAATCTTTGAAATATCCACAACAGGCGTGGAACGTACAACGTAGTCCCACGATGATGGAATGGGGAAGGCGGGATAAATCTTGCAATTCCATCTCACACTCTCAATGTCTATATATATAGATATATAGCCTGTAGAATACTGATAAGCAGGCAACTTTACGGCGATGTTCAAGGTTCTGTATATAGTATACTTCGATTGACCAATTTCTCAACGTATGCATAATAAACTTATACCTCAATGATTCCCAGGGTTAGGCGAAGACATTCAACTTGCTACGCTCCTGCCAAACCACTTTGGCCTCTTCCAATCGTATCAGTCTTTTATCAATGCCCGTTTATTTTTGGCACCTTCAACCTGCCCTTTAGGATTTGATATTTACATTTTCATCAAGTCTACCCCTCTCTCTCTATGACTCGTCAATTTATGTATGTTAGTACATCCTTTCTATATGACCAAACCATCGAAGTGTTGTTCCCTTTTCTATCATGGCAACTACGCCATTTTTCACACCTCTCATTTGCACGGTATTCATCTTACCTATATTGGTAATACTTTTTAATATTGAATTGTTATTTTCGTTAGCGTCTCTGAATATCAACAAGTTTCAGTTTACGCAATTACCATAAGGTCCTGATTGTGTACTACGAGATTTTTCGGCCCGTGCGTGTAATTTTCAAACTATATATCGCATAAACATATTATATGTACTAACATAAATATATCATAATTATGTCAGTATGATCGTAGTTCCTGAATGTCGTTTGTATTGTTAATATCCTAGATAGGATTAAACTTCTTTTGTAAGGGGCTATACTCCCAAATATGTCCTCTTAAATCAAGTTTTCACCAGTACATACAACAGATTACAGACAACAGAGAACAGAGTACATTTTCTGTTTGCCATGCATTCAACATTGATTAGTATTTTGAAGTTTGTCAATAAATAAATAAACAAATTAATTATTTAATTAAATATAGATCTGAATTGTAAGTTAATTATTAATGTACTCAACTGTCGTTTGTACGGTCATTCCTTTTTACACCACATGCTCCTCTGCATTGGACCCCCTTTTCCGTACCATTTGAGCATTCTAATGTATATAAATGCTTGACCTCGTTTATATCTTTATATTGTTTGTTAGACATTCTCAGTTATAGGTTCGTTGATATCAACAAAAATATATTATTATTGAACCTGAATTCCAGTTCCCTCACCGTTTCTTCCAAATTTTTCCTTTCCGTTATTTGACGTGAATAAATTTTCCCATTTCGCAATGGCACAAACAAAAAATTAGTCTGTCAATTTTCCATCGGCCGCTACGAAGATAGAAACCCAATTTTAGTAACAAGAAGAAGGTGTAATTCAATTGTACTAGTCACGTTAATAGGTTTTTATAATATGAAGTTTATTGGCTATCGCGATGTTTTACTATCATGATATTCAATTTTTTTTTGTGAAATTAATTAATTTGAAATTAATTTTAAGAAATTACTCCACTAGTTTGTTATAATTATTAATACAAAGATCGAACACTCAGAAAAAATTCCGAAATACTCAAGATTTCTCGTCTCATAGATGGCGCTACGGCTAAAAAGTCGTTGAAAAAACCAAATACAAAGACACGACAACAAACACATACAAAAATTCGTGAGGTTCGCTGGTTTGTTCCATGGTTTCGAAGCATGGGATCGAAGGATTTTTTCTGAGTGTTCGATCTTTGTATTAATAATTATAACAGACCAGTCCAGTATAATTTCACATAAAAAATAATTGAATATCAATTCAATAAAAATTTGAAAAACATTTTATTCAATCTCAGGATTCATGCGTGCATAGTGATCTCTATCAGTATAATCTTGACGTATAGCATATATGTATTTACATCTAAGGATACCAGGGAAATACCGATCAAAGTCACCTAAAAACGCGGTTTTGAGTTAATACCACCATTTAATTCGTTAAACGCTGAGTGTATTTTGCCTAAATCAGGAAAAGGCTAACAAAGTTCAATATCTTGAAAAGTTTCCTTCTAATTTTAGGCATAAAATGCTTGAATAAGATTTATAAAGGTTTTTTGGGTAAAATAGATTCATTAAGGTTACACGCATTATGTCAACATTTACTTTATTTCTGGTTGCATTTTTGCATGTCACCAACATTGAACAGTTTTCTAAATTAAAAATTCGTTTTTCCTAAAGTTGTCCTCATGCGACTTCGATCATACTTGCCTTGGACTCTTTATTTAGTACCTAATTCAAACATACATTTCTTATCATACTGAAATTTATATTACAAGCCTAAACCGTGCTAGGGTTCACGTGACGTACTATTAAGTATTTGTAACAACAGTATTTATACCATGGTTGCAATAAACGTTATAATATTTTGTTCTATTCCGAATGAAAGTATTCAAAGTGATAAAATAAATATTTTGTTTTAGATGTACCAGTGGTAGATCTTAAAATGGGTTCTAATCTGAACCCTAATGAGATTAAGGAAGGCGACGACGTTTACTTCGAATGTACTGTGAAGGCCAATCCTAAGACGCATCGGCTGGTTTGGTTCCACGACGTAAGTATTTCTTTGTGTACAAACACCATCACATAATTTTGTAAATATATACCAACAAAGCTTATTTTTTTCGGTTCATAATAAAATTTAAAAATCGTACTCACTGGGTCCATCGAATGATATTCCACAAATATAAAAAGGTTGAGCTAGAGCTGACAAGTTTAATATATTTTCTAGAATAACGAAATTTTCCACAATGAGGGATCAGGTGTAATCCTAAGCGCCCAGAGCCTGGTCCTGCAAAGTGTTACCAGAGCTGCTGCAGGGGACTACACCTGCATGGCTGCCAACAGCGAGGGGAAGGGTACCAGCAACCCTGTCACATTGATGGTTCGATGTAAGTATTGATTATTGTCTCTAATTTAAAGTAGACAACAGTTTAAATACCTACCTCTGAATTCCGGACGACTAAGGCGAAGTGGTATCACAGTTGCGTAGGCTTTGAAGTGTGTGAGGTAAGTGCGGAGAAATATATTGATCACCAATTTCATTGACACTTTAGAAATAAAATATACTCTCTTACTGTAAAGTAAACTCATAGTCCACTGACGCTATTGCCAAAGGCGTGGGAAAAAAAATCTATTGAAATGTCTTTAATAACAATCAAATGAAACTGATTTTAGATCCGAAGATCCATTTTGCATAAAGTTTGTTTACCACGGCCCGTTTGAACCCGAAACATTGTGCTTCGGGTCCCATAGTCCATAGCTTTTAATATCTTGGATACATCCAATGAACACTATGCTATCTTAATTTTTGGACCTGTATTGGTTTTTTATTTTCACAAAACTTGTTGTTTTTCAAAATTTTTTTTTCTTTTTTTTCACAAAATTCGGGGATCATAACATTAGTAAATAAATATGGCTATTTACAATAATAACAGAAACCGGCCGAAAATGTTGCGTTTCATGGGAGGTATCGTTGTGTCTCCATTATTAATTAAGAAAAGAAGTTGAATACGTAATTTTTAACGTCGAAAAGCCGTCCAAAATTTTCCGTGCAGTAAAACTACGTCACAACATGTATTTTGAATGTAACTTCACCTTAATACTAAACGAGAAATTAAAAAATTGTTCTTCTAAATACCGTAACAAAGAAATTAATACAATACAATAAATCTGGGTTCTCATATGGGGATATTGTCCGTTCTATGTCTATTACTTATGGCTTGTCAATTTATTACATAATCATTATAGTAATTTATTTGTTGTTCGTATGTTACTTGTGTGTGTGTGTATCTAGTGTTTTTTTCTTCCCATTATATTATAATATATCGTAATTATGAAATGTATGTGTGCTGTGTTTTTTTTGGAAGAAATTATTATCTATTCCATTGTATCCAATTCATAAGAAGACAAAAAATGTGCTCCGACCTTATTATGTTATAAGAAGATATTAAGAGAATTTGGTTAGTTATACCAAACTTTGTTTACCAGAAGTATTCATCGAAATGTTAACACTTATTTTAAATAAACTAGTTAATAGCACTTCAATTTTAGATGTCTAATGTAAAACATTATTCTATGTCGTTGATCTGAGAAATATTTCTTCAGTTCTTCTTTTCTGAAGTCAGAATGGGCAGCTTTAAAGAGGTCAAGTAGCTGGCTATGGGCTGGAAAGAATGGAAGAGGCGATACAGATAAGACCCTGGCTTTTAGATAGGATGATGAAACAGGGAAATATTTGCTTTTCATCATATCTGTGGACAAATATTTTATGTACTTATTGCAGATTCTGTCGTGTCTGCACGAGATTTGAGTTCATTTTTCCCTGCGTTGAAAAGTTTATAATGGGTTACCTCTTCTGATGCTTGCTTTAGGGTGGAGGAACCAATTTCCGTCAATCCACTAGTAAACGAATCTTATGTTGGTATTTTAAGGGTCGTTAAGTTTTCTTTCAAGTACATATACTCCAAAACCTTGTTAACGCGAAAGCGAATAGGTATTATATAGGCATGCATGCTCTATAGTCAATCACATCATCACTTTCCATCCGGTAAGATGGAGGTGAAATGCGCAGGTTTCCTTTTTTTCTTCTTATTATATCTATGGCATACACTATAATGCTTGCCATCGTGTTGAAAGGATATACCAAACGTACAGGATAAATTGTACGTCATGCGAAGACGTACTTTTCTAACCACTTCAAAAAAGGTGGAGGTTGTCAATTCGCCTTTTTATGGCTAAATTTTTTTTGTGTCTGCTACGCATTGGTCAACCGATTTTGATGATTCTTTTTTTGTTGGATAGCGGGTAGGTACCTGTGTATTGGTTCCAATTTAAGTTTGAAGAAAATATTCCACCTTTAAGGGTGGCAATCCGGTTTCCTGCACTTTCCGGTAACTGATTGATTAATAAAACGTGGCAAATAGATGTAGGTAATTCCATGAAATTTTGAGGTCGGTTTTTTTTTGTAAAACAGTTATAATATGATATCAAGTGAAGGAATGACGAAGTCGTGAGCCTGTTGGTAAGCGACACGCCTATCCATAACAGTTACAGTGCCACTCAAAGCTTTAAATCGCGAAGATCTGATACTGCCGTAGCACCCGGCACCTTGAGACATACAGTCTTACCTGCTGTTGAGCAGAAATAGGATAGGTGATAGTACCTCCATGGACGAACTCGTTCACAAAGTGCTCTACTGCTTCTATTTTCTCTAAGGAAAAATGTGTATTTTACTAAATTCAGCCCGCGTATTCTAAAATATACGAAAAATAATACAATACTTCTATGAATTCTTAAGAAAAAGGTAAATAACCTAAAAAAACCTACAAAAAAAAAAAGAACTCCGAAGAAAGCAAATACAAACCAATGAACGATTTGTTTTAAAAGAAATACTAGCAACGCAAACTTTGCTGAAAGCTTTTCGCTCTTTAATTGTGAAGTAACTGATACGTACCATCTGATACGTCTAGTAATTAAAAAATACTATCTAAAGAGTACTACCAAAATAGATATATGTATAACAAGTTTTGTGGCGGTAGCGCAGAGTGAGCGGTTGTTTTGTCTGCTGTATAATTAAGAAGTCCTAGTCCAGTTGACCTTTTTAATGGTTAAATTTATGCGTGGAGGAAAACATGGAATTGAAACCTGCCTGATGAAAAAGATTCGCAAGCCTTGAGAACGGGTAAAGTCTCTAACCTGCATTGGGCCAGTGCGTGGCCATATTGACTTGAACCTTCATCTTAGAGAAGACCCGTCCTCAGCATTCTGACGTGTAATAGGTTGATGACTTCATATTGTTTATTGCATATTTACAGTGTCGTCAAACTATAGCATAGCATTTTTTTTAAAGCCTATACTGTTCCACTGCCAGAGCAAAGGCCACTTTACCATCTCTCTAAACCTCTCTATTTTGAGTCACTGAGGTCCAGTCTTTTAGGTGTACGTCGAGCGCGTCTCTCCATCGACGCTTTGGATTGCCGCATGGTCGTTTTCTACCTTTGGGGATCCATTCTGTGGTGGCCTTCGCCTACGACTCGACGACGTGACCCGCCCAGTCCCATTTTAGTTTACCCGCTTGTTGGCCTACATCTACGATTCCTGTTTTGGAGCGCAGACCACTGTTCCTAATTCGGTCGGACAATTTGACTCCCTTGAATTTGACTTGATAGTAAGCACACAAAATGAAAAAAAAATACAATTTCAATTAATTTGGGTGAATTTATAAATTGATTAATTTTAAAAAGCTCTAGCATCCTCAGAGACCACTCATATTATTTAAAATTGTATACATTTTCCATTAATTCTTAAAACGGGAAAGATCGAATTTATTTCTTCAATAAAACGTTAGTGACCTCTTCCTAAAGAGTAAAATGAATTTTTCTATGAAAATATTCCGATATTCTTCGGCAAAATGTACATTAAAAGAATTTCTAAGAATTATGTATTTGATTTTGATGAAAGCTTTTGTTGTGGACACGTATAGAGGAACTTCGATAAAAAAAACATATATTTATATGGAATCTTTCGTGAGGTTTGAGAAATAGAAATTATAACTATGAACAATGTTATGAAAAAAACGTTGAAAAACAATACATTTTTTATGCGGTAGATACCATTACGTTGTCATTATGTACATTGTTAAGGCGTTTTTTTTTTATTTTTTACAAGGATTTTAAATATTCCAAAAATAGTTTAGTGTTAGACACGGCAATCCTATCTGTTTTATTTTTTAGTTCACTGTCTCAATGGTGGTTATGTGCAGTTTAATTATACTTTCAATAAATACTTTTTAAAATCAACAACCACTACTATAATGCTTTTAAACTCCATCATATTGACGTTAACAAATGAAATAAAAAAAATGCGTAGTTTCTTTTGGAAAACTCTCGAACAATTTTAAAATTAGCCATTACCGTTCTGGCAGAGGCATTTGGTAGACAATTTAATGGTGCTTAGTGCGAACTGTAAGGGGATTGCCGCATTGCATCCACTGCACGGGACTTATTATTGCCAGCTTACTTGCACTTCAGTTTCATAAAGACACAAAGATAGTGCTAAAAATAACGGTATAGTGTATATTTTAAATAATTTGTAATAAGAGTCGTAAAGGTTAGGTATTGGGGCTTAATTCTTAGATTGTTTATAAATTTGTTATAAAAAGAGCAGTCAGGCTGGTCAGATTAGGTCAAGGCAGATTTTCGTCGAAATGTAATTTTTAATTTGCCCACAAGGCCCAAAAATATATTATATTATAGAATATTGAATATTGTATCTATATACAATATTGTTTATATGTTTATATTACAGTACGGAAAACGTCAATTCTATAATGTTTCAATGAGTTGGAATTTCATGGGCGTCTGCAAATTCCAAACTACACACTAAATATTGGTTGTAAGTCGTAACATTGTTGCAAAGCATCTTTAACATTGTAGAGCAAAATTTTAGAGCTCTCTAGATTGCTCTGGGATTTATATGTTACTAGCGAATGTTTGGAACAAGTTTACTGTCCTCAGAGAACGGCTTAAAGGATAAAAGCTAAGTACGTAAGTTGAGTAGGACAGTACGTAAAAGCATTATATCGTATAAATAATAGTGTGTTATTGTAGTGAAATGAGAAGAAACAGTAGCTGGACGAGTATGAATTTAAAACCAGAGGTCTTCTTTATACAAGTCCAGAAATTGCCATTGCTGACGAAGCATGTAATGCATAAACAGAATTGGGTTAAAGTATATAATGCAATGCATACATACATATATGCAGGTGTACAAAATACATACAGAACGTGTGCTTGATTAAAAGTTTGGATTTGCAATATGTCGTATCACATATTCCAAATTGACAAAAATTCCATAATTTCCGACCATTTTGAGGGTTAAGTAATCAAAAGTCATACTTAGAACGAAAGTTATTTAAGTTAATTAGAGGAAATGATTCCTATTTTCGTCATTTCGTCTTAAAATTCAATACATTACTAAGTTTTATATCTTGTTCCACACTGAACTTAAAGATAAATGCCAAAGCGATCCGTAAAAGTAAATTATTGTCACTACAATTGCTAAAACCGTACACTAAGACAATAAAATGTCACGTAAAGTTGTGAGTCACATAAAATCGCTTTATGGAAAAATATAAGCAAGAGATCTTAAAACAGTGCTTTATGTTTTGCAGCAGAATATTTAAAATTCCACTAAGATTTAGTGCTCATCCGTTACTGTGGCGTGAAGCCACAGTATGAGTATTCATAAAGCAAAGTTATTTAAACGCCAATATATTTCAAAATATTTATATTTCGGTTTTGAGTAAGAAAAATTTGCAAATAGAAAGCCGTTGTGTAAAATAGGCAAAAATAGATTTTCTTATTATCAAGACTGGTTATAACATTACTCAACGTTTTAAGCAGATAGTTAAAATTTAAACAGCTGTATAGACAATGGATTATAAATATGATACATAACCGCTATAACATAATATGATTATTGACTGTTTGGTATGTCTATTAAAACTAAACGACATACTAGACAAGTTAGTTTAAAATGAAGTTATGGTACACGTTAATTATAGTATCCTAAATGAGCATGAAGATAAACGCCTGGCTGAAAATTCATTGAAACATTAAGAAAAGTAATTAATAAAGGCTAACGCTACAAATTTGCAACCTCATTCAGAGTAACCCCATAAGCTGTCTTTTAGGATATTTACTTCCATACGAAAGGCTCGTAATAATTATCTTCTAGACAAACTTCAACCTTTAAACTTTGAGACCTTAACGACAAACTTGGAGAATATCAATCTACAACTAGACTGTAATATTACATTGATTTCTAAGGAGCTATTGATATAACGCTTCAATACTTTTAAATTGGATAATAGGAGTCGGACAAGGCGTAATATAAGGAAACAAATTGTTTCATCATTTAACCACAAGTTTTTGGAGCGTAAATGGTTGTGATTTTTTATCTGTTGTATGGCTTCGATGGCGAATCAGTTTGGCTGTGCATGTTATTAGGCTGTGTATTATCGACTGCTATTCTTATCTCGTTTCCTTTAGTTAAAACCATTCGAGAGAATTACTTCCAACAGCCTCTCTACGCTTCGAGGTCGGTTCGTTCGTTAATAACAATTTTAGTTTATAATAATGGAGTTGACGGTTCGAATCCCTTTGGCGACATGGACTTTAACATCTAAGTTACATACACTTGAGAATGTTTAGTAGCAATACTTCTTGCTAACGGTGAAGTTAACATCAACAGACCAGCGTTACTGACTATGGCCTTAATCTAAATTAAGTGACGTGTAATAGCTTGACGATGAAGTTATAATATAATTTAACTTAAGAGTATTTAAAGCAGAACTGTTTCGCACTCAAAGTCTTACAGCAGATATAAGTCACTGCTGCTAACGCCTTTAGTATTAATATAATATTCCTCGGGTCATAATAAAACGTATAACGATCCTTTTGTAAATTAAATAGTTTCTCCTGTTACTTTCCTAAAGCTTGGTCCTGTCATTAAAACTTAAGACGGCAGTTGCAAGTTTTATAACGATCTCCAGATTGGATTGCTCTTTATTGATGTTAGCTCTGTGCAGCATCTTCTTCAGTAAATACTTAAGTGTTCATTTATTTCTCGACAGAATTTTGTTATAGTGTTTTCTTTATACTGTTGTCATTAATATATATTCTTATTGTTTGTTAACGTTATTGTTAGTTGCCGTTTGTATTTTCTTTTCTAGCTGTCTGGTAAATTATGTTTATTCAGTGATTCTCTCTGAATACTAAGTGTTTTTATTTTCATTTAATACTACAAGATTATGTCTGACACTAAATTTCTCATAAATGCAATATGAAAACTTTGTGTTGTATATTCTGTCTTGTTGAAGAATCATTAGTGTGACATGTAACTGTTCTACTAAAATTTGAAAACGAAAGCCGAAAAAGTGAAATAGTTGTCTTGCGTCATGAAATAAAATCACTTCTTTATTTTTGGTCTCACTTTTAGTTGTTCCAATATGATGTATTATTTAAGGAAAATGGAAAAAGGTCGACCTTGGTATATTTTGTGTATATAGGGTGCACTATAAGTTTCCGGAACTGGCCACTTACGTAAACAATATTTAAAAAGTAATTACAGCATTTGAAAATGGAACTCTTTGGCTGTAGGATACAGTTTGTTGCAACTGACTGTCACTTTTTCTTACATTGTGGCGTCATTTTAGAAATTGGTTGTCTACATCACCATTGATTTTACTCGTGAAAATTTTCGTAGTATGATTTTCTACGACTTTAAGTGTAAATTAACAGACGTACCATGAGATTCGGGCATCTTTAGGCATAGGCAAGAGATAAATGCAATCAATACTACACAAGTATTTGGGTGTGAAAAAGCTGTGCTCTCGGTGGATCCAACACAACTGAGGCTCAAAAAACGGATCGCGTCACTTGGTGGAATGCCATGCTCACCAGATTCAACGAAGGGCCGTCAAATTTGGTGTGGGACATAATAACAAGTGACGAAACATGGATTTATAGTTACGATCCCAAAACAAAGCAGTAATCGAGCGTATGGGTCTTTCGAGATGAGCCGAAACCAACCAAAGTGCCTCTAAGCGGATGATTGCTTCTTTTTTTAATAAAACTGGACACGTGTTTGTTTGCCGGAAGTTATTGACAAACTCCGTAAAAATAACCGTAAACGCCGTGTCATCTTGCACCACGGTAATGTCAGTTCTCACACGGCCAGACACATAAATGAATTTTAAAAGGTGAACAACGCTGACCTATGAGCCATCACGTGTACAGTTTCGACCTGGCACCTTGGGACTTTTATTCATTTCCAGAAATTAAGAACTAGTTACGCGGTCAATGATTTTCATCACTTGAAGAGGCTGTCGAAGAGTATACTGACATAAACGTTTTCAAAATTGGTTCATTCGTATGAGAAAGTGCATTAACGCTAGCGGAGAATATTTTGAGAAACAATAAATTAATTTCTGACCATTTATAGTATATTTCTCTTATTTATTCCGGTAACTTATAGTGCGCCTCAACCAGATTGAGGATGTCCTTAAAAATACTAGGTCAAAAGTGTCAAGAATAAACGGGCATGTACAAAAATATGTCTATAATATGTGATGACCTCAATGGGACGCTTTGGTATTTACGTCCATAGGTACATCCACCTTATATAGTTGTTTCATAAGTTTTTGCCATTTTGTTATTCTAGTAGTGTCCCTACCCATTATTAAACAAATAAATACCAAAATATTTGTAGCACATACAGTCTTATCTTGGTAATGCACAGTGAAAATCTCTAGTCTATTTCAGTAAAGGCTGCAGCGAATACTAAATGCGCCAAATACCCGGTTGAATGCTCGAATATTTGTGGAACAGGTCCTTGTTTACTCGTATACTGGTGTATTTAAAACTATAACTATAGACTTCGGAATTCAGTTGTTCAGTTTCATTTGTATTTTTTCAGTTTCAATTGTATTCATTTTAGATTTTACTTTACACTGTTGAAAATGAAAAAAGTTTTGATTACAAGTTTTGTTTCCGAAACGTTTTTAATTTTTAACAACATTCAGTTAACTTCTTGGTACTTTGTAAAGCAATTTTGCTTTTATGAATATTAATATAACTTTTAAGTATATGTAATGAATACACAGAATTTAGAATCAAACTCAATAAGTAACATTTCTGTATATAGGTAAATTATATTCAAATTTATTTCTTTATTCACTCTTAAAGTAAAAGTGAGAAAAACATGCATAAAGTTTTCTAGTAAATATAAGAATGTCGAAGCTCTAATTTATACAAAGTATTTTATCTTGAAAGCAATGGATTTTGTTACATTGAAAAATGTCTTCCCACAGATGCTCCCGTATGCACAGAAAGAAGAGACGGTGAATTATTTGGTGCTCTAAAACACGAGACAGTATCGATACATTGCTCAGTCGACGCCAATCCGGCGCTGGTGTCATTTCACTGGACGTTTAACAATTCTGGAGAACAAACAGAAATTCCTCCTCGGTAAAATTATGCATTATATCGTTGTCTAAGCTTAATTTCATATGTATAGCATTGTTAATATATTCATTGGTACAAACGCACCGTTGGATGTAAAACCTCGTTGTCTAAAGTAATAACAGAAAACTTTGATATCTCTTGACGTGTCTAGCAACTGTTACCTTATATTTCTAAAACAATATACAAGTCTGTCTACTACAATGACCCTGAAAGAGAATCAGTCAAAAGTTTTCAAAACTAAAGCGAACGCACACAAAGAGTAAACAAGTCTGAAGGAATAGACAAGTTTGTTTATGATAATTATTCTGGATTAAAATTAAAGATTAAATGTTTTCAAACTCCGCTATGATTACAAGCTTATGATATTTCTTTTGTTGTTAGATTGTACAGCAGTCATGGCCACACATCCACTCTTAACTATACTCCAACCACAGACATGGAGTATGGAACCCTCGCTTGCTATGGAGCAAATTCAGTCGGGCAACAGAAAGTGCCCTGTCTATTCCAATTGGTCGCCGCAGGTATATTAACATTTATATGAAATACTTCATTGTCTAGGAGATGCATCATTTATTTCTAAAAAGCACTATCCAATAAATAACAGACAACGTCACTTACAAACGAAGTATAATGTATTAAAGTAAATGTAAAATAAGAGATAAACAGTTTTGTAATAAATAAGGTAAACATTTTATGAAAACGAACAACCTAACAATTATTTATTATGTAAAGGGTTCCCACACGGTGCAGTACTAACGGCTAATCTTTTTCAACAGGTCGTCCATTCCAATTGCAAAACTGCTCGGTAGCAAATCAAAGCATTGACTCTTTGTACGTCGAGTGCGTCGAGAACTTCGATGGCGGTCTTCCACAAAGCTTCCTGATGGAGTTACGTGAACTGCCTACTTTGGCTGTGAGTATGACTGTTAAGAATGAATGGTTAATTTCTATTATAAAAAAAGAAAACTACCACGTTCCTGTTCTTGAAGGGTGACCACTGCTCTCCAATCTGGTTTGTGGTTCAATATTAAAACGTAGTATATCATAATTGATATTATTAATTGTAGCATTGATACGTCGATTATATAACCAGAAATAGAGACGAAATAAGGGCCATCCATCCCTGGCAACTTATCAGGTAAATGGGCCTTGTATAACTTTTAAATATCAACTCTTGCTTTGCACTGAAATCACAAATTAGAAAACTGAAATAATACAGCGCCAACAACTGACCTGTTTGTATGTCTCCGTATGTTCCAAAAATATTCTGTATTTATTGTAATAAAGATAATATCTCTAACAATGGAGGCTGTTCCATTCGGTGGTGGTCTAATTCTAATCTAATTACAAACGAAACGGAATCACATTTCATCGGTAATTAAATATTAATCATGTAATTTTGCAATTTTCGTCCACTATATCAAAGCTCAAGTTAAACTGGACGATTTGAAGTGAAACTATTGACGACACCCGTTAATTGTTTTGAATTTGGGCTGGCCAATCGGAGCGCAGTTGTCACAGTAACGATTTGGCGGAATAGTTTTTAAAAAAATTAACGACATTTCGTCTCTATTTTTGGTTATATATTCGGAGCATTGATATAAGGAGCACATGAACAATAATATCCTTAACCACTTCCAGTCAGTGCCCTAACGAGAATATGGCACTGGCCTCTGAAGGCAAAACTTATTAATGCAGCCTCATTCCCACAGCTCCGCTACAACGTATCAACAAACCGCACGCCCCCCTACTTCGAGGTCCGTGGCCTTCCCCCCGGTGTCAGCTATAGAATCGACTTGTATGCCGTCAACGCCAAAGGTCGAAGCGACGTATCTACTATAGAAACCGTCACCCTCAAAGGACAGGCCAAGTTTACTGGTAAGGAAGAATTTATTAATAAGATGGTCCAAAAATAACAGTCATAAGACGATGTCAGTTGCAGCATGGTCGGCATTGTGGACGCTTGATGTGAAAGTCCCGTTCGTAGTTTGGAAAAAGAACTACATTGGGTTTTGGTCGGGGTGTTTCAGAAAAACCAATATTACTTTAACCTTATTTGAAACAATATTACTTTAACCTTTCAATATCTTTTCGTACCATGACGCGCTTAAAGTAAGCTTATTCTAATGTTAAAATTAAATAAAATATTTTATTGGCAGCTTTGTGATTATTCATTCACTGAATTCGTACTATGACGCGACTTTGACATTAAAGTAATATTCTTCTTAAGTCAAATTTAGCAAATGCTTTACTTCGTGACTTCCCGTGCTTTCACCGTTGACGTTAAGAAAAATTGTGACAGCGCCACTAACAGTTGACACTAGACTATTAATTCCGAATTCATAACTTGATAATCAAGTCTCAGCTTGTTTTATTTATTTTTCTTCATGAAAATAAAGAAAAATAATTGAAAACAAAGTAATATTTTTTTAATTCTCTGAATGTAAATAATATAATGACTAATGTTGAAGTACTTACAATATTATACTACGATAGGACGATTCGGACCATCAAAAAGAAAGAGATGGCATTATTGACTAACAAATAAATGGACGACGGGTCTAATACAAAAACCACGAAAAAAATGTTCCAAGTCAACCTATTTAAACGTAGTGACATGTAAAGGAATATGAAAAGGCTAAAACGTTAGATTTAAATTGCAATGTCATCGCAGTACTGTAATTTATTAGTAATTTTGCTTGCTTCGCTGTCAGTCGAACAAACGAAGACTAAAGCGTGAATGACGCTCTGTATACGATTTTAACGCCCTATAAGTTCGGACACTTTTTAGCGCGGACCCGACGTCCATATAATTGTAAGTCAATGGATGGCATTATTTCTTTCCCATTTTTAGCAGCGACAGACAATCTTGAGAAATAATAATAATAAATAACAAACGCACACACTCAACATGGCCCCGCACTAAGGAAACCCTGTGTCGCGGGTGCCATGGACACACACATAGATAACCACAAATTACACCTAAACTCACGAGAGAAATAAATGTAAATCATTCGTTCTTCCACTTACTTTAAGTATAATACATTATTTAGTTGACAGATTTGTCATGGTACGAATATGAGTAATATTATAATAAGCTTACAATAAGCTTGCATTGAAATAAGATTGTTTTTTGAAAGGTTATGGTAGCCCATGGGTGGGAACATCGGAGTTACCTTCGTTACTCTAGCGCGTATAGCCTAGGGAATTCTGTTGTTTAAGAACTTCTAGTTGTTGTGAGTATTTGGCACAATATTATTACTTATTTATTAGATAGTAATGTTATAATTGTAAATCCTACTGTTGCTCATGGAATTGTATTAAAAAAAGGTAATTGGAAAATCGTAGCAAGAAACGTTTGCTCACAAAACAGTATATACAGTAGAAATGCTTAGAGGGCGGGACAACTGTCGTTAAGTTCAGTCCGCCATTTTCGCTTTCTACTTTATGGCCGTGTCAATTATCTCACGAAAATCCTCGAAACTTTTCTACTTTGGAGTCCAACTGATAGTCACGCCCGTAATATTGGTACTACCACTCTTGGTGGTGTTTCATATAATCGTTGTTTTATTTTATTTAATTTTAATAAATTATCAATTTTCTGTTTATCGTAATAGATGTTTTCTTCTAAGAAACGAAATTAAACCTTATACCGCTGCAAAATAGTTGGCCAAAAAAATTTTGACGCTGGCTCCGCCCAAATTTGTGAAACAAATATATGCCTGAAGCTCGCGTGACATGCGACAGGAGATGTTGAATTTCGCGCATTAAAAGTACCAAATTCGTTTTAGCGGAATAACTCTAAAAGTAAAGGGATTAAAAAAAAATCCGTAGTGACAATTGTCGATCATGCATAAATATAATTAATTGTCAAATTTTTGTCCTAATAATCTATAGCATTTCGAGGATAAATCGAAAAAATGTGAAAATTAGAGGTCATTTTGTGATTTTTATCTATCGAGGAAACTTTATTGTTTTATGTTTCTGATTAATGTCTATGCTTGAATATATCGTGTAGTTACTCATACAATATTTTATTTTTAACTTTAAAGTGGATATACCCCTCTAAAATAAAATCGAAGATTTAGAATTTTTCCTCTGCTCCCTCTTAACAATATGATTGTGTGAGTTCACCTTTAGCATACAACATAAATATTGATTGTTATTTCCTGATAGATTAACCGAAAGAACCATACTCATATAAAACACACAAAAAGTAGGTATGTTTAATTCTTTACGTAGACCACTGTAGTAGACTAATAACAATAATATTTTATGTGTTATTTACATGCAAATGAAGCCACTTTAGGCGTTTAAGATTATAATGTTGTTGGCGGTTGAGGTGTTAATTTGATTCGTATAATTTTAGAATAGTGCCGATTTAGTTCTGGTTACAGTCACATATTTTAAGTACATTGGCTTCTGTGGTTTATTTCATTGTACTTAAAGCAGTTGTGGTGCGGTATAAAGTCGCAGTTGTATTCCACATAAATAAATTTGTTAGAACTATAAATATTATCTATAAGAGCAGTGGTGGTAGACTAGTGGAAGAATGGTTACTTCCCACCTTACCTGCTGGGGCCATGAGAGATTAAAATGACCAACACCTACTTTGCAATGCTCGTTTACGCCGCATGTGGCAAACGCTACGTATTTAGTCATATAACATGACTGACGCGGCCCTGACGTACTTTTGTTGCCACTTGATTTTTGGGATCTTTGATAGCATTTAGTATATACTTTTCTAGACTTAGAGGAAACATTCAAATTGTATTTCAAAGTTGCTACTTAAACAAAAAAAATGTGCAATGTTAATAAAAAAGACGTATGTCAGCTTTGGTAAACATCGATCGAAAAGGGTTAAAATGCCTGGTACTAAAATTAATTCCAAAATAGAGCCCTATAATGAAATAGCGCGAA